AAAATAAAACTATATTGAGCCAGTGTTGTCGTACAGCACGTAGAGCTATTGCCTGTGAGGTCACCAATCCAGGTAGGTGTCAGTTTGAGTCCCAACTACTGCAATTGGAATCCAGTTTCCTGTCAACAGTCTGGGAAAAGCAGTGAAGGGTGACTCAAGTGTTTGGCCCCTCATATATGTGTGGAAGACCCGGATGAAGCTACTGGTTCCTTGTCCTTTGTGACCATCTAGGGAATGAATCACTGAATGGAAGATCTATCTTTCTCTTCCTCTCTTCTTGCAACTCTGACTTTAAAAATAAACAAATAAACCTTAAAAATATATGTTTAGGCCAGAGCAAGTGTTTAATATAGTGGTAAAGATGTCTGTAATTGGGGCAGGTATGGTGGTGTAGGCTTCAGTTTCCATTTTAAAAATTAGCTCACCATACTGGAAAGCTTGTTTCAACCCTGGCTTCTCCTCTTCTGATATAACTTCTTGCTAATATACCTAAAAAAGGTAGCAAAAGGTGGTCCAAGGGCTTGGACACCTGCCACTCATGAGAGAAACCTGTATGGAGTTCTTGGCTCCTGCTTTCTACCTGACTCAGCTCTAATCATGGTAGCCATTTGTGGAATGAAAGCACAGGGTATCAGCTCAATCACACTCCTCCCTTTTCTTTCCTATCTCCCTTCTTCCCTTTTTCATTCTGCCTTTCAAATAAAGTTAAATCAAACAAACAAAAAAATGTAAAAGATGTCTTTTCCCCCATCAAACTGCTTGGCTTTGACACTCTGCTCTGGTTGTATCCAGCTCTCGAATAATGAAGACTCCAGGACCCAGGAGTGATAGCTGAAGTAACTGATTTCTGCCATTCACACAGGAGACCTAAACTGTGTTCCTGGCTAAGGTTTTTGTCCTGGTCTACTCTCAAACATTGAGGGGATTGAGGGAATGAATTAGAAGATGACATCTTTCTCTCTTTCTCTTTCCTAGGTTAGATCTCCATATTAATTTAAAAAAATCTGTTCATAGTTGAAATATGCTCAATTAGTTAACTGCATTCTTATATTAAAGAAGTCTTCAGTAAAGTGACATGATCAGTATTTCCTGATGGAAAAAGGATTGGTTTGTCATTTAGGATAGATTTTTTAATATTACCTTGTCATAACATGTCAAAAAATAACTTGGAAAACAAGGCAATATTGAACTTCTGTTAGTCTTAGAACAAAGACAATACCAAATAAGCAGACATTTATTACTCAGATTTAATTATTTAATTTATAAAATCCATTATCTTGCTTTTTTACTATTGTGGAATTTATTTTGTAATATCTGTTTATTGTGTAGCACAGCATTTCTCAGTTTTTGTCAGTGTACTCGCATACTCATATAAATCTGTTTGTTTAATGTCTGTCTCTTCAGTGTTCTCAGTGACACCATGGAGAATGACACACAGTACTTAAACGATAGCTACCTGTCTAAATGGAACATACTCTAGTATTTGTTACTCATTCAATCAATACTTATTAAGTACTTACAATGTGTCCTATACTGTGTAAACCATCTTTCCAAACAATTATCCTTCACAAAGGACAGTCAATAATGTGCTTTGGCTAAAAGAACTATGATTTAAGAGATTTACTACCTATCAACACAAGTTCCAACTATGTACTTAGGTCAGGTTTCCTGGGCCCTTGTCTAAAAGACAGTGATTCTATTCTTAAGTTAGCATTTTCTAGACATATTTGATGTAATTTTGAACTATATAAATATTCAATAAAACTGAAAAAAACGCTGCTCTCTGTTTATTATCTATAAAACACCAATAAGTCATAAAGCCTCCTCCTCCATGCTCATGTTCTCAAAAACCAGACAGTAAATCAGAAGATCTCATGGTTTTGATCATTTTAGCCTTAATATGTACTGAGTATTGACTGGAAAGCGTTTCAATATTTCCACAGAAAGTGCTTTTTAAGAAATGAAAAGCTAGTTTCTCATTACCTAATTATGATATCTCACATACATGGTCTGCAGCAGTAAAGAAAAAGAAATCATTTGGAAGAATGGGAAAAATTAATATTCTTTGTAGTCTACGCTCCAAAGAAAGGATAAGCAGATAATCTCGGACCCCATAGAAATGACTGACCTACAGTACAGTTTTTAGAGAGGAGGATAATGCTGTGAAGGTTTAGGGAAATAAAGTGAACCAAATAAAGATAAAGAAATATACTAAGTCACTTAGTTTCCAAATTGGTTTACATTTGATTTACTGAAAAATTTTCTTCTAGGCATGTCCAAGAGATGCAAAAATTAAAATTTAGTTAGTATAGCACTAGCAAGAATACAGAAAAATGCATCTCGTGCCAAGTTTCAGGTGGGATTTGGGGAGACCATGGAAACATTAGCAATTTGGGTTAATCAACATATAAGCAGGTAAATGAAACAACTGAACAACTGAATGGTAAACTCTGTCATTCAAAGATTGTTACATTTTAAATAAGCATATGAGAAGCACTTAAAATAGCATGACTATTACTTACACATTCTTTAAAGGAGAAAAAAGAGTAATTGCAAGAAAAAAAAAACCTTCTTAATAGCAGCCAATGAACCACTGAAGTGAGTAATGCGGCCCTTTCTTTACAAGTGTGATGGTAAACATGGAGTTTTCATTAAATACGCCTTTCCCATAACTTGTCCATAAGCATTTCCCATGACTCTGGTGGCTGAGTGTCTTGGCTAGAAAAGGATCTAGCCATTAGGAAGAGCTCTAGACAGTCTGAGTCCCCACTGTGTGAGCGACTTGGCACCTTTATATGCTACTTCCCAATATCAACCTCAACATGAAATGTCATCAGAAGCTTGCATAAACATTGGACTTAGATTCACAGAAATTATTTCTGTCCTGAGGTGCTTTATGCCAGAATTTAGTAAAAACAACATTTTGAGTAAACAGAATTGGTGTTTAAATGTAAGAGTATTAATCCAACAAAATGATCACAGCAAAATAAAATCAAAAGTACACACTTGTAAATCTTGCACTGATGTGAGAGGTTTAGCTTGTGTCCCTGTGTTTTTATTGAACTTTTCCATAGAGCTCCTTTAAGCTGACACTGCCAAAGTGCTGTAAATGAACAGTTGCTTTCCAGGATTGCAAAGTCTTTAATTTTCATTCAGCTCCTTATGAAAAATTTTAATAATCATATGTGTGATTGGTGCCTGTTTAGTGTCACAGATACATGTTCATTTTAAAAGCAAACATCGGGACAATGAAACACCATGTTTGATATGATTGCTTCTGAGAGTAAAAACATTGCCTTATTTTACTGAAAGTCACTTAAAGAAACATCATGAACAAAAGATAAAGTTTCTACTTATAGATATGTTCTAGTCTACAATATCAGAGCTGCACACACTGCAAGGCTGCATCTAGCATACTTTTAATACTGCCTAAGGTAGACACATAAATTGAGAGGTATAGAGCTTATCTTTTCACGTCCACACATCTCATTACAGGCAGCTTCCCCAATGTCCCATTTGGATTTTCAGTCTAATAAAACAATGCTCACACCATTGTTACTGAGTATTTATAGGTGAAGGAAGGTTTTCTGGAACTGATGATTATTCAGCTATTGGAGATAATGACATTATAACATTCCCAGTTATTCATCTTGGCTTTAACTGCTTATTAAATACTATTTATTTTGAAAATATTTACTTATAAAGGCAAACAGAATTGCAAGAGGCAATACAGACACATTTCTGTCTAAGCTCCAATTGATGTCCTTCTTTGCCAACACCTCTCACATTCATTCTGCTTTGAGTGCCTTTGACTCCCTCTCTGTACGCCCCAGGTTTCCTCTATGATGTGCTGATAGGCTATCTCCAAAGTCACTCTCTCATCCATATTCCCTAGCCCCGCTTCTTCTTCTTGTTATTCTCTCATTCCTTACTGAACTGGGAATAATAAGATCCCAAGACTGTCCTTACCCTATAATTAAAGTATGAATTTCCAGGAGTAAGAAATTGCAGACCATTTTTATTATGCTTCTATAATAAAACCAGGTAACACTGAGAAAATTAAAATGGCTCTTTGCAAGATTACTTGGTAAAATTTTTTCCCCTTTGGTTCTATTGTTTTAAGACACTAGAAGTTGGAAATGGCACCAGGTCCACCAATTCTTTCTTTTTGTTTTTTTTTTTGAAAACACCTTTATCTTTTACAATGATATATATCTCCCAAGATCCTGAGAATATGTTGTAAACTTGTAACAGATGGTGATAAAGCTTCACATTTTTATACAATACATTTTTAAAGATTCTTCATTGACTCTATGTGTTTTCCTGGAAACATGACCTTGAATGAATGAAGTCATGGTTTGAAGGAGAAACACACCCCACAGATTGACTTGTGCAGTACTGATGATTCAACTGGGTTTTGTTTTGTTATGGTTAATGAGATGAAATAATTTCAGTTGACAAACAGAATGTTGAAATAGAAGAAGTAAAGGTCATCTTAACACTGGAGGTGCATCTGTTAATTGTTCCAGGAAAACCAGTGAGCCGTGTTTTGTCCTGAGTAGAAACATGTGGAAGGTGGACTCCTGCTGTCTCCGAGGAGGAACACTATTTGCTTCTCTGGGTAATGTTGGGGGCTTACCAAAAATCATTCTGGCACAATAAATACCAGCATGAATGTTAGGAGGGTTTTAACACTATGAGTGCTGATACTTCATGAATGTTTTATCACTGGCTTGAAAACAAGAGGTTTGCAAGCAAATCGACAGTATGTCAGACAGAAAAAATATTAACCAAAAAAAGGAGAACATTAGTGAGAATTACTAATTCCCTACTGTAAAAACAAACTAAAGTGAATAAGAAACATGATTCTCTTAACTAATTCACAAAAAAGTCAAGTTTTAAGTTGCATGGCTCCCCAGACAAACCACGTTAACTGGAGCACTGGTTGTTCAGAGGGTATAGAATTGGGAGGTGGACTTGCTGCATAATCAGTTACCCACCTCTTTTTTCAACAGCTTCGATGCATTGCTTTACAAACCGTGGAACTGTGGAATTTTCACGTTCACACACTGTGTGCAGATGAGAACCAAAAATTTGATCTGCAAAAAAAAAAAAACAAAAACAAAACAAAGATGAGTTTCATTAAAATCCAAGCTTGCACTGTTCTCTAATTTGATTTTATTTTCATATCCACTGCATATTGAAATCTTCATCTTGCATAGGAATTGATTTTTTTTTTTGCTTTAATTCCAAAATGTCTATGGCAGACCTAGAAAGACATTAACCCTCTGTTATAGAACCAGACCTTGGCCCCACAGCAGGGAAACCAACACTTTGTCTTTAATCAGACAGAGGGGTGATTGAGTGAGTTATAGTCAGCCTGGGCAATAATTTGATTGTTTACAAAATAACAACAACAACAAAAAGGATAGGCAGAACTTCCCCCAAAGTAATTAGTATTCTTGGCTTCTTAAGTGTGTTTGAAGCAGCTTATCAGTGGGTACCAATATCATGACTGTAAAAGGAAATTTAGGATACTCAGTGATGCTGAAGCAGTAAACTTCATACGCTGTAATGTGATATAAATTAGTATCTTCCAAAGCTGAATACCTTCCCTTTTTTTTAAACCTAAGCATCACTGTTCCTTTTGAACCACGCTCAGATCATACTTTCTTTATAAACTCTTTACTTCCTATCTTTTTTTTTTTTTGTCTCCTGTGACATAGTATCTTTAGGACAGCAGTTCCTCAGGATGCTTGTAGATTATGGAGGAAAAAGAGCTTGTGATCAAAGTGGATTAGCAACACTAAACAAAGTTAAGCAGATTTCTTTAATGAGTATCTGAAATGCTTGTTCTGTGTCAGTGCACACTGTGAGTCTCTATGAGAGGACTGAAGTCGCATTATTTCCCAAACTTATTTCAGCAAGGTCTTTTTTCTTAGAGAATATCTTTCCAGACTGATGTTTCTGGGAACACACTCTGAAATCCAAGCCTAACCTTCTCATTTGAATGTGATTTGTGCTATCTTTCATTGTGTATTTATAATACATGGATCATACTCATAAAACAGAATCTGAGTGCCTGAATCATCTATGTATGCTTCTGGTTGTAATAGTGCTTGGTACTCATTTCAGCTCATAGTATTCACCCATTGGTGCTTCCTAGTAAAGTACACATATACAAACTATTCTAACCAGTTTTATGTATACAGTTTAGTAGCAGTAGGTACATTTTAATGTGTACAACCATTACTGCTAGTCATTTATCGGTGCATTTTGAATAGGACTGACATTCATGAAAGAAATATGAATGTTTGTCCATCTGCAGGCTTTCCATTTTGCTCAAATGTCCCTCTTGTGATTTACATTGGATATTTGCTAATTAATTGATTTCATTTTCACCCTTTCTCCTCCGAAGAAAATTTTCTGGTAGCCTCGCTCTCCACATTATTATTATTTATCATTCCTGCCAGTATTTTTTTAAGGTCTTTCCTTAGTCATCAATGGAAATGTTCAATAGACTTTAAAAAATATGTACAAAATTTTGGAGAAAGATATCTGAGGCAGTATAACAGAAGGCTCCATAACACAGTATCATGAAAGAACAAGTGATAAAAAAAATCCTTTGCTTGGTTTTGCTAAGGCATTTTGATCACAAGCTCTTCTTTTCCTGTTAAATGTGACTATTTTGAGGAAATGATGTCTCAAAGAACCTATGTCATGGGTTACACAAAGTTGGAATAGGATGGAAATAGTTTCTTGAGAATTCAAGCGAATTATCACTTTTTTTTCGCATAAAAAGGTAACAGCTAGAACTGGTGACAAATCAGCATGGAGGGACCCACGTTAGGCTAAACCAATATGAATAACACATTCCTGCATTAAACATCATATTTATCCCAGAGACAAGAAGAAGGCAGCATCTAAGCACACAGAATATGGGGAGGTGAAGAATACTGGGTATTTGCTTTGAATACTCAGTCAAATAACAAGGACTTGTTCAAAACACCGAGTGTAAGAAAGTGTAACATAATGTATTGCAAATGCCTATGGTGCATATATTTGCACTGTGATACAACCATATTGGAATCTGGGCTCATGTCCTGGTTCCACTCTGGATTCCTTACTCTTGCTAATGTACAGCCTGAGAGGTATTAAGTGATGGTCCAAACAGGAAACTTGGATTGAGGTCCTAAATACTGACTTCATCCCGGTCAAGACGCAGTGACTGCAGGCGACAGGTGAGTGTATCAGTGCATGGAAATCTCTGATAGTCAATTAGTCTTGGTCAGTTTCTCCCTCACTCTCATTCTAATAAATGAATAAATAACTAGGCTAGAAACTATAGTTAGAAAGAACTTTTATGAGGCACAAATCACTCAACAGACCTCACAAAACAAGTCCATTTAAAAATATTTATTTTCTACCAACTTCAAAGAAAATATGGTAGGCAAATATGGTGTTAAAAAAGATAAAAAGAGGGCATGGCACAATAATCCAATGGCTCGATGGTTAACCCCTCACATTTCATGTGACCGGATCCCATATGGATGCCAGTTTGTGCCAGTCTGTGCTTCATTTCCAATTCAGTTCTCTGCTTGTAGCCTGGAAAGCAGTGGAAGATGCCCCAAAGCCTCAGGACCCTGCATGTGCAAGGGAGACCCAGAGTTCCTGGCTCCTGGCTTCAGATTGGCTTAGCTCTAGCCTTTGTAGCCATTTGGGGGAATGGAGATGGAAGATCTTTCTGTCTTTCCTTTTCTTCATAAATCTGATGTGCCTTTCCAAGGAAAATAAATAAATCTTCAAAGAAAAAGGTTCAAAGAAGTTTCCACTATTGCAGGAGGTTATCAGCTTATTATAAGCATCTATAAAACAAAATACAGAAAGTGAAATAAACATATTGAGGACTAAGAGTAATGTCCTTTAGCATAACCCTTTGTATGCAATTTGACACAGACGCGGGGTATTTATGCATGTGTGAATGAAGAGATGGAGAAAAAGATGGAGATAAAGTCCCACATGATGGCTCAGTCACTAAATCCCGGTCTTGCATGCATCGGGATCTCATACGGGTGTTGGTTCGTGTACCAGCTGCTCCACTTCTGATGCAGCTTCCTGCCTATTCCCTGGAAAGCAGTAGAGGATGGCGCAGAGCCTTGGGACACTGCACCCATGTGGGTGACATCAAAGAAGATTCTATCTCTGTCCTAGCGCAGTAGCCTACTGGCTAAATTCCTCACATTGCACGTGCCCCCAGGATCCCATGTGAGCACTGGCTCTAATCCCAGTGGGCGTACTTCCCATTCAGCTTCCTGCTTGTGGCCTGGGAAAACAGTTGAGGATGGCCCAAAGCCTTGAGACCTGCACCTGCATGGGAGACCCTGGAGAAGCTCCTGGATTTGGATCAGTTCAGCTCTGGCTGTTGCTACCACTTGGGGAGTGAATCAGTGGAAGAAAAATTCTCCTCTGTCTTTCCCCATCTCTACAGATCTGACTTTCCAGTAAAAATAAATGAATCTTAAAAAAAAAGAAGATCCTGGCTCCTGGCCTTGAATTGGCTCAGCTCTGGTGGTTGCAGCCATTTGGGGATTGAATCAGTGGACACAAGATCTTTCTATGTCACCTTCTCTCTGTGAAGCTACCTTTCCAATAAAAGCAAACAAACAAACATAATCTTTAAAGAAAGTGTAAAATGGAAGTGATTCAGGAAAATTTCCTTTATGGGTAAAGAAGATATTAAATTTTGGAAGATTTTATTTTTTATTCTAATTGACATATAAAATTGTACATGTCTACTAGGTATCATATAATGTTTCAATACATGTACATACCATGTAATATATCAGTTAAACATATTTATTTTTGAAGCATTGTTATTCTTTTATAGTGAAAAAAGGAAAAATACTTTAATCAAGCTTTTTTTGTTATCTTGGTTTAAGAAAATATACAGCGCCTTAACTTCATTTATTCGCACCCTAAAATACAAAAGAATAGCAGAAACTCTTATACCTATCTCAGTAAACATATCCATCCATACTCACTCCTTTCCCCAGCCTTTGGGAATCAATACTGTACTTTAACATTTATAAGATCAAACTTCAAGACTCCATAAATGAATGACCTTTCTATGCTTGGCTCATTTCAATTAATATAATACTCCTGAGTTCCATCTATGTTGTTGCAATTGACAAAGTTTCACCCTTTTTATAGCTAAATGGTATTTCATTGTGTATTTGGTGCTGTATTTTCTTAATCTATTAATCAGTGATTGAACATTCTTCAAATTTCTTCAAAACTGTGAATTGGGTTGCAATAAAAATTGTGCTGCAAGTGTGTCTTCAACCAACTAATTTCATTTCCCTGAGATATATACCCCTCAGTAGGGTGCTGATTCATACAGTTCTCATTTCAGTTTTTTTGTTTTGTTGTTTTGTTTTTAGGAATTTCTATGTCTACACAATGGCTATACTAAATTACATTGCCAATAAGAATATGCAAGGGAATCCTTTTCTCTACACCTCCATTTTCTTTTATTATTTTTGTCGTTTTAATAATAACCAACAAAACTTGCCTGAGGTGGTTTCTTATTCTTTGATTGATGGGCATAGTATGATATAGGAAAGTCATTTTAAGGAATCCATTCTTTAGGTCATTCATTCATTCATTCTCTCATTCATTCAAATTTTTGAAAAAGAAATGCTTTGTGCCTGTGTCAGGAGCCAGAAAAGGCACTGGAAAAGCTTCAACCAGGCTCATTTCCTGATTTCTTTTAAAAGCTTTCCTAGTGACAGCAACAGACAAATCTGAAAGAAATTTTAATTCTGAAACATGCTTTAAATGGGAAGCACAGATGAAGTATGTGGTGGACCACCAGACCAGCCTTCAACACCTGTGGAAGACTTCCCAGAACCAAATAACTGGATTTCGAAGGATAGGTAAGACCTAGGTTGGACAAGAAAAAGAGGGACAAAGGACATTTAGGGACTATACAGGACAATATACAAGTAATCCATGATGGGTTAAGCAGTTAGAAGATTAGACATGTTAAAGAAAGCCATTGCTTTCCATTGTCGAGATAAATCTTGATAATTAAGCTTTA